TGATCGAAAGTGTGGGAAGAGCTGTCAGTGCTTGGACTGTTCTTACTGAACAAAATATGGGAAAGATCTTGGAGGAGCTCACGGCTCTTAAACGGGAGATACACCTGGAGACCAGTGATGGACATTAAGAACAACTGTAAAATTGATGCAGTCTGTTCGTCCGAAAACAACATAACCATGATTTCTCACGCGGCTACCCCCCACCCCGAAGGCGCCAGCTGGACGCTTGAAGGCCGAGGCCAACAACGCTTGGAGGCTGATGCCAAGGAGAACAACAACAATTCTTCCCTCAGATATGATAACGAGAACGAGCTGACTGTCTTGCCTGATTCTTCATTGCCACCTCAGTAGGCTGCGGACTGTTGATTTTTGCGTAATAGGCGGAAGGCCACTTTCTCAGGCTGAACACAGGACACGCATCCCGAAACGCACGCACACATGTACACTGATACGCCCTCACCACCACCCTCCCTTACTCGAATCCAACACCTCCCCATGCTTACCTCCCATGTCGACAGCAGCTCAACCGGAGTCAGGATCGCAAGATTGCAGATGCAGCTGTGCACACAGCATACTCCCCCATGTTGCTTGTCTGTGTTTTATGGTGTTATGGTATCATGATATCGGTGCTTACTTTATCTGCTATGGAGTTCTTGTTTTCTTCTCATGCTGACTCCCTTTCGTAAGTAATTTCAGTTGCAGGCAACTGCAACCGACAAATAAAGGCATTCATTCATTCATTCCTTGTTCAGGTTTAGTGAGGCTAAACTCCAAAAACTGTTTTCAGATAATGACTGATTCTGTCTGGAAAACACTCAGACAGTGAACCAAGCACAAACCTAAAGACCCCACTCTACCAACATTTCACACCTAGTCATCAGCCTGAACAGCTCCTGCTGTGGATTCTACCAACAATGACCTGTTCCTCCCCCACCCAAGACATTCAACACCTTCAGCAACCCCTGTGATTATAAAACATGGCCTGGACATGATCACCACTTCATTAAGTTGCTTGAAGACGTTTCACCTCTCGTCTGAGAAGCTTCTTGAGTTCTAGGTTCAAATGGTGGAGAGTCCCGGATTTTATGGTGTGTTCACACCGAATGCAATAGACACGACCAAAACGCGCCACACGCCCCTAGCTTGACGCATGCAAATTCGCACCTCGACGCGTGTCCAACGTGAATTATTGAAGTGAAAATGTGGGAGGAAGTTGTGCCAGACGGTATGTTTGCAAGATGGAAGCTGTCGAGCTAGCGTTTGAAGAGAGAGTCTCCCTTTTCTATTTACTGTGGAGAACAGAGCAGCGGCGTAAAGGACGTTATTTTGTTTTAATTTACTTTCAAATTCTTCAGTTGCTGAAGGGGCTGCATAGTTTTCACAAATTGCATAGTTCAGAATAGCTATAATTGTACCAGATGGTTGCGTTCAGTTAAGTTGGACTAGGTGCTCATCAGGTGCTCAGTTTAGAAAAAATAGAAAAGAAGAGGAGGAGAAATATGCAAAAGATACAGGTAAGCAGATGTGATTGGATAATGGCAGGTCATCCTGAAACAATCAGAATCAGAATACTTTATTAATCCCTAAGGAAAAAATGTGGGTTACAGTTGCTCCAAGAAGAAATGGTAAAAATAGTAACAGTAACAGACTAAACTCCAAACAATACATTATGTTACAGCTTTTAATATTAATTAGTCATTGTCAATTGTTGATTTGTCCTGTTCTCATTGTATGACGAATTATGATGGCTGTTTGGCCGTTTGCATACTATGCATACTCTCTCTCTCTCTTCATGTGTGTGTGTGTGTGTGTGTGTGTACAACAGTTTTATGTTAATGTACAATCCTTAATATGTTTTGTGTGAGGGGGGGCAGAGGGAGTGTTTGCCCAGGGCGCCAAACAGGCTAGGACCGCCACTGTTCAGCAGCTAAACTCAACATGAACTGAACTCACAGTAAAGTTAGCTCGGTGCTTACCTTTAGATGAGCCCACAAACCGAGAGAAACTCCGTGATGAAGCTGGAACTCTTTCCAAACACAGGAAACAGATCAGGGAGCAGAGACCCACGTGGTTCACGCTGATCTCAGCTACGATCCAGGAGACAAGGGTGGGCAGATCGATGCAGATATCGATCAGGACGTTGGTAGTGGTATATGATCGATGCTTTAGTTTGTGTCTCTCCTCTAAGATCACTACTTTACTCCCGTTTCGTGAAAAAGCAGCTCTCTCTGCTCGACTCCTCTCCTGCACACAAACTTTGCTCCGCCCCCTTCTTCCTGCTCTGCTGTGATTCGTTGCTGTGCGGTCAAGTGACTCAGCTGCGCAGCGTAACCACGTGGGGTGTTTCCTAACTTGTTTTCTTTTGCCTCGATGAAAACGTCATCGTGGGAAGGAGAATTGCTAAGGGCTCAAGAAAAGAGAAGAGCGGTGCTGAGAATTGGAACAGCCTCACACTCGTCTCTCTTTGACAATGTTACACCAGGGTGTGATTCTTATGGAGGACCACATGAATCAGATACATAGAAATGAAGAATTTTCATTTAAATAATGATTTGTGCGATAAAATATGAATTTCTTAATTATTTGACAAAGAAAAGCTTGAAATTAGAACCAGCATTGAGCCCTGTTACTTTAATACACAGTGTTAGAGCAGTGGCTGCAACCTACAGCCTTTAAACTCATGATTAAAATGCTGACAATAAACTCATTAGTCCAGATTTCACCAACTTATTTTCTGATATTTTGTGTTAAAAGAACTGAGATAGGGTCATTAAAATAAAAGCTGTCAGTTCTCTCATTCCTCATTGTTCTTCCCTCATTTATTTTAAATAGAAGATTTCTGATATCTCTTAATGTCGCTCAGATTTCTGAATATAAAGAGTGAATGCATTTACAGCAGGAACTTCACATCTAGCCATCAAAAGTTTGGTAAAGTTGCATGAGTACTGTAAAGTTTTCTGGGGTCCTGTTAAAAATAGCACAAGCGTCACACCACATCTATAAACTATATATTCCAGTTATCCACTTATCAGTAATTTCTGAATCACAACAAGGACACAAACCGCACTGCTTATCACAGATGTTACATTCTCTGTAAAGCAATTTCAGAGAGAAAGAGCAACAATGACTCATTAAGATCAGCCAGAAATCTGCCCCTCTCAGGCAGCTGTGGCAACTCACAATAAGAAAGCTTGCATTCTTTGAAAAATGCTGGGTCATGTATGATTTGTCTGAGACCATGTGTCATGAAAATGTCATGAAATTAGGATATTACATTTTGGATTTTCTGCACCTTCACTCTCAGTGAAGTGTTTTAAACTTTGATGAAATATGGCAACTTTGTGTTGTGCTGCAAGATAAACCCGCTGTCCTCATGAGCACAACTTTTTAAAAACACTCTCTGTTCAAAGGTAATTTTAGTTTTTATACTTATAGGGTCCAACTAACAGGAGAAAAAAATGCAAACATCAAACCAGTTTATAATTGGTTAATGATGTATACTTTATTTATCCCCGTAGGAAAATTACTCGTAGGAAGGAGTGGCTTCCCACTGCTTCACTGTAGCCAAGCAGGGGGCAGCCAATCCAGTGCCTCAGGGTAGCCGTTCAGTGGATTCGACCCCCTGACCTTCCCGTCACTCATCCAAGTGATTTCTTCAGTCTCAGCTGACTGCAGGTTCTTTTACTACCGCGCTGGGTAGGAAACAGGAATTCTGTTGTACATGCACTGTTGGGTTGCAAATTTTAAAGCCAATATGATCACCTTGGATCCACAGCATTGGTGGATAACCTCCACCAAGTACACCAGAGCCTATACGTCGGTAAGTTGGCTACCTTCTAGCACATTGATCTGGCCTCTGTGGCAGGTATATAAACATCTAATGTTCTTAACACTTTAATGTTAGCATTTGATGGCCACTAAAGCATGTTATGTTTTATAACATTTTCTT